CCAATTTACTGCGTTGAGTTGGCATTGTACAGAAATGGACAGCCATATTGGTCTAGAAATGTTAATTTATTTTTATTTTTATTTTTTTTCCATGTGTACAGTGGTAACACACTGTAATGAATATGTAAGGTCATATCTACATGGGTTTGATTACAGAAACTAATAAAGTATTCTCTACATAATGAAAAAAAGAATAAGATAAGACTACAAGAGCAAGAAGCAATTTAAATATGTTCAGGGACCATTTTCATCCCCAGAATTAAGGATTATTTTAATGTTACATCATTGCCTTTACTCTTTTACTTTCCTTTTTAGTTTTATTTTAGGATTCCCTATTTTTAGTGTTCATACAGAGATTTCTTTAACTGAAATACTGAATAGTTTCTTTGGTGTGAAAAACTATAATAGTACACAGGATCCTAATGAGATAATTAAAATGTGAACTAGGAAGTAAAGGGCTAAAGGTGTAGGGAAAGTGGGAAGGTGGGGGAAAGGTAACAAGGGAGAGGAAAAAAATATGAGAAACTGAAAAAATGGAAATAAAGTGTTTGTAAATGGGGAGGGGAGGAGGGGCTGAAGGGAGGGCAGGGACAAGGGGAAAAAATGAGAATCAAGACCTATTATGTAAAGGTACAGAATCGCAATGATGAATGTAACTGTACTGTATACCTAGATTGTACCAATAAACTCAATTTTAAAAAAAAGAAGCCAACCAATAGCAAATGCTGGCAGGGCTGTGGGGAGATCATTGTTGATGGGAGTCCAGACTGGTGCACCCACTGTGGAAATCAATATGGAGACACCTCAAAGAACTAGAATTAGAGGTTCCATCTGACCCAGCTATTCCCCTGCTGGGTATCCTTCCAAAAGAATTTAAAGGATCATACCACAGTGATATAAGCACACCCATGTTTATAGCAGCACAGTTTGTAATAGCTAAAACTTGGATACAGCCCAACTGCCCATCAGTCAGAGACTGGATAAAGAAGATGTGGATTTTTTAAAAATGGAATACCACTCAGCCATAAAGAACAAGAAACTAGAGAGGTTTATAGCTACGTGGATGCACACTGAGGCCATACTCTTAAGTGAAATCAATAACACACTCACTTATACCATATAGTTTCTCTGGTGTGAAAAACTAAAAGTGTAAATAAGGTTCAAAATGTATAATTGACTTTGTGTAATAAGGAAAAAAGGTCTAAAAGAGTAGACAAAGTGGGAGGGGTAGGGGAAAGGGAAAAGGGGAAAAGAAAAAATATAAGAAAAGGAAAAACACAGAAACAATGTCTTTGTGAGCAGGGAAAGGCGGGGTAAGGAAAGGCAGGGGTATGGGGGAAAATGAGAACCGAGACCTGTCATGTAGAGGTACAGGATCCCAATGATGAATGTAACCGTACTGTAGACCTAAATGCACCAGTAAACTTAATAAAAAATAATGCTTACAAATCAATAACAAGAAGACAAATTACCTAATACAAATAGGTAGCACATTTGAACAGAAACTGTACAGAACAAGACAATGGAACACATGGAAAGTAGTGAACACGGCCAACAGCAACAATTCTCAGTGCAAATCGTCACCCAGTTAAGCAGAACCCACTCCAGAGGGTAAAATGCAACCGAAAGCATCAGGTGCTAGGGAGAGCAGTGCAGCTGGCAGCTCCTATACTGCTGTTCGGAGAGGAAATGAGCAGCCCTGCTGAAAACGTCTGACAGTTGCTTACCAAGGTCGGTCAGGAAGCATGAGATGTCCCCCAGCATTTACCCAAGCTGAGTAAACACGTCCAGGCACCTGAACGATTTTTTACAAATTTTCATAGTAGCGTTGTTCATAAGAACCAGGAACTGTAAATACCCTCGAATCCCATCAGATACACGGCACACTGTGGCTTGTTCATGCCACAGACTGTAAGCCCCGAAAGGGCAGCATGGCCAATTTCGACCACATCATGCTGAGGCTCTGCTCCGCATGACTGCAGGCCCGTAGGATTGCAGCGGTGGGGGACCCTCCTGAGAGAGAATTGATGGTTCTTCAGAGCATGGGTAGAGGCGGAGAAGTGCCGTGAAGGAACAGAGGCTTCGAGGCTGGATAGAAGTTCTATGTCTTCGTGGCGGTGGTGTTTACACAATGTTACGTTCGTCAAAACTCTCTGAACTGCACATTTAAGATGTGCAGATTTTGTCGTGAGTGAATTTGACTTCAGTGAACCTGGGGGAAGAAAGATCCATTTAATCGGTGAGAAGCAAAATGCTGCGTGAGGTCTTCCAGATGCGGAGGTTCCCTGGGGGTGAGAGGAACGACTCGTATTTGTGAGGCTTCTGTGGTGTGTGACGTCAGTATTTTGTAGAAATTCTGCTGTCTGCATAGCCACGGTTGGAAGGTGGGCTGCAGACCACAGGACGCTACCTTGACTTAGTGTTCATGTCTGAGGAGAGACTTTTTTAAAAGGTGAAGGGAGGAGAAAACAAATCGGGCAGGGATCAAGAATCCAAACAAAGAGTATCTGAGGAGGAGACCCTGAGGATTCCATGTCTGGATTTAGAATCTATTGTGCATAACTCGTGTTCATTAGATCTGCTTCATAAAGGGATTGCAAAAACGACATCTAACATTTGGAGTAAAAAAGCGAAACAAAGACACTATTTTAAAGGGCTTGTCATTCGAACACAGTCTCTACAGGCTCACTTTTTCACATGGCTGCACCTTCCTTCTTCTGTTCTTTTTTTTTTTCAATGGCACTGCAGACTGAACTCAGAGCCTTCGAACAGTGCTACTTTCCCAGCCCTTTTATTATTGCTGTTAGAATTGTTGTTGTTGTTATTGTTGTTGTTGTTGTTGTTGTTGTTATTATTATTATTATTATTATTATTATTATTATTATTATTATACGTTGAAATAGGCTTTTGCTAAGTTGCCTAGCCCAGGCTGCACTCCAAATTGCAATCCTCCTGCCTCGGCCTCCCACCATGTAGAATGTAGCTACATGAAGAATGTATCTTCTCTTTAAAGCAGGACATGCAAAGCAAGTCTGTTTCAGGTGCTGACTCTGGGAGTGATGCATACCACAAACCACGTATTCAAACAATTACAGAAAATAGATGACTGTGTCTGGGAAATAGTATGTATAAGCTTACTATTGTAGGAGCCTCGCTAGTAACAAATATTTACATTATGCTAGCAAGCAAAATATACAACTACACCAGCAGTGCTGATGTGGGCAAAGTTTCCAGAGTATTGTCACTCACTGTGCAAATCGAACTGTCTGAGAGCCAACCTCCCCGTGCCTCAGGAGCACCGAAGCACTAGTGACGGTGGCTGAGGTAAGAAAACACCATAGCGTCCAGCGATAGATGGAGGAATAAAGAAACTGCAGACATGCATGTATAATGGATGTATGCTGTCTTGGGGCCTACTCTTCAGACACAAAAACAAGCAAATGCTGCCGTTTACAACACTCTGGACCAAACTACAGGACTTCATGCAGAGTAGAATAAACAAGATATGGAAAGAAAAACACCATGTGATCTCATTCCATATAAAGGAGTCAGACTCGGAGAAGCACGGAGTAGAATCGTGGTTGCACAGGCGTGGAGAACGGAGGGGAGATGAGCACATCGCAGGGATGCCGAGCTCTGAGGCGAGCAAGCGGTGGGGACCTGACATAGATCATGGTGACCGCGGTTAGCTTTGCGCACCGCACATCAGAAATTCACAGAGGGTGGTTCTTCAGGGCCTCCCCAGGGGTACACACGCCACACGCACGGAGGGGAGGCTGGGAAGCGACACTCAACTGTGGCAATTATTTCTATGTAGGCATAGACAGAATGTCAGAGTGCTCTTAGAATACACACAGTTTTGCTTGTGAATGATACCGCAATAAAGCTGTAAAACCAAAATAAAAATAAAGAGCTTTTAGAAACTAATACTATTAAGCAAAGAAAAATGTGTGGAGTTTTTTCTCTCACACAAAGTAACGATAAGTACACAGAAAATGTAATCACCCCATTTGATCAGTACATATTTATACATGTATTGAACTATAATAGTGTACTGCATACCTGTGTATAATTATTATGTTAACTAAAAATGCTAAAAGACTTTCAAAGTAGGTTCCATGTGCTACTAAGTCAATGAAATAAATTAAAAACTGTTTTTGCTTCATTTAATAGTTAGCTACCAGAATTACCAGAGTACATTTACTTTCAAGATTCACTGCCACCCTTCTTACTGTGATTTTGATCTTTTGAAGGTACTTTACTTTATTATCCTTGTTCACAGCGAGGAATTCAGTCATTTACAGAAACTTCATTGTTTACCTCATGGTGCCACTTACCCCATCAGAGTCCTGGTCAAACCAATCGCATTATATCCATCTCAAACCAAGAATCCCACAGTCAAGAAGATCGAGCTAATGCTGCAAATGCACACTGATAAGAGTGAACTGATGGGTAAGCCAATGAACTATTGAACGCATATTTTTATACCGTTCAATGTGACAAGTTATGTGGAACCGGTGGACATATTTCTCATATAACTTAGTATCATGAAAAAAGTGAGCTTTCTCTAAAGAACTGTCTTACATCCGGTTATCACATAAGTGATGTTCTTCATCCTATTTGCCCCCCGGCTTTTCCTATGACACCAGCAAGGCAAGTTTAAGGTTCTAAGACCAAAAACACCTTTAGAAGTCTTTGCAATATTCCCTTTCTGTGGACATAGGTGGCAAGTCCCCAGGTTAGCACACTGACATGTAAAAACACTTCAAATACTTTTGCAATAATCTCTTCATAGTGATATCAATTGCCATGCACGCTGAGACACATATGCGTCAAAACCCAACTCTGACGAAATGAAAGACAATTTTGAAGACTACACTTGTGCTAATGAAAGGTTTTCCCTCCATGATAGTTCAAAATAATTCAGGAAAACTGAGAACCAAATTTACGGTGAGCGATTTTGTGTTCGGTGAGTTGTAGAGACAAATAAATCTCAAGGGAGCAGAGAAACTTACCCTCCAAGGTGGATCGGACCCTTCCCACAGAAACTGCAGGGCTGCGATCTCTCCAGCACCTCTCCTAGTCCCACCCCATCAGTCTCTCCACAGCCCTCTTCACATCTTTGTTTCTGAGGGTGTAGATGAGCGGGTTCAGGCTGGGTGTGACCACGGTGTAAAAGAGGGCGATGAACTTGCCTCGGTCTTGAGAACTTTCTGTCGAAGGCTGCAGGTAGATGCACATGACTGGAATGAAGAACAGGGAGACAACCACGAGGTGGGCTCCACAGGTACCAAAGACTTTCTGAAGCCCCGCTTTTGACGGCATCCTCAGCACAGCACCAGCAATGGCGCCGTAGGAGCTGAGGATGAGAATCAGTGGTACAGCAACAAAGACGGAGCTCATAACCATGAGGGTCAGCTCATTTGCACGAGTGTCGACACAGGACAATCTCAGGAGGGCTGGGACCTCACAGAAGAAGTGGTCCACCTGGCGATGTCCACAAAGGGGGACCCAGAAGGTAAGGGAGGAATGAAGTGCTGACACGGTAAAGCCACTTGCCCAAGAGGCCACAGCCAACAGGCGGCACAAGCGAGGGTTCATGAGCACAGTGTAGTGCAAGGGTCTGCACACAGCTGTGTAGCGGTCATAGGACATCGCCACCAACAGGACACACTCTGCAATTCCCAGGGAGAGGACAAAGTAGAGCTGAGTCACGCAGCCAGCAAAGGAGATGGTGTTCTCTGGACCCCAGAGGTTGACCAGCAACTGGGGGATGCAGCTGGTGGTGTAGCAGAGATCCAGGAAGGAGAGGTTTGAGAGGAAGAAGTACATGGGAGTGTGGAGACGGGCGTCCAGGTGTGACAGGACAATGATGAAGAGGTTGCCCACCAGTGTCATCAAGTAGAAGATCAAGATCAGCACGAAGAGAGTGACTTCCAGCTGAGGCCACCTGGAGAAGCCCAGCAGGATGAAGGAGCCTTCAGAAGTAGCGTTTCTTCCTACCATCTTTCATGTTTTTCCTTTATCTGCAGAAAGGGCCACATAAACTTCAAAGGTTGCCCACGTATTGTCTCATGCACACCAGCACACTGAAGACAGTACGTACACCACTTCCGAGTGTACTACTCGTTCCTTTTCAGTAGCAGAATTTTGATTGTTTTCTTTCCAGGTTTCATTCAGTTATTAATGAACTAATGAGTGAATGACTCCTTATGTTAATGAAGCATTCAGCAGGTAATTTTGTTTTTTTATACATCCCTAAATTAGAATATAGATGAATGAAATGATATTTCATAGAAAACACAGTTTTTAGAAACATATTTTTAGGAAAAAAAATAAATTTACTCCCCTTTTTCACTTTTCAGGCTGTTTCTAATTTTGTAGTTATAGAGAAAGCAATTCCTCTAGTCTTACTCTTACATATAGTTAAGAATTTCTCGTGTGATGAAATAGAATTTTAAAATATTAATATGGATGAAAAATTAACTTCAATGAATAGCGTGTATAGAAATTTGTAATGTAGCTTCTGAAGACACGTCCGCTAACATTAATAAACGAGTAAATATAAAAGTCAGTGAACATTTCAACTTGTGGTTACTCTTGGGCAGCAAAGAAGAAATTCGCATGTGCACTGACACGCAGATTATCCTTGCTTATTCTCTCTTGCGTGTTCACTCCTTTGTCTCTTTTCCCTCTTCATGCAATTTTCCCTGTCGCACTCTGGTGGCAAAAGGCAAATTCAGCAAGAGAGACCCCCAATAACCCTTCAAGGAACTTGTAAGGATTCAAGCATTATAATCTTCCCTCCCAGAAAAGATACAGCTGTCTGATTGGTTGTGTTTTACTCGGAGAGCGGGGGAAGATGACACGTGTCCCAAGATACGGCTTCTATCTGTTCCCTCTTCATGTTCTTGGCAACGCGATGATCATTAACCTTGAGGGCAGTCATGGAAAATGGACAGAACTTTCTTTTGTATTTCCCTGAAATGCGACATACAAAGCCCTTTGTACAGGACAGTTGACTGGAAATCCTGTGGATAGCTTCTCTGAGGCAGTATACTTTTCTTACCTTACACAGCTGCCTTAACTCATGTCTGCATGAATTTAAAGAGAGCAGCGGCTGGGATGATTCATCGTCCGTTATATGATCCGTCTTTTCCAGCATTCTTCTGGGGGGAGAAAAGGTACGGGAACTAAGCGGGGAGGGACACAGGCATCTCACATGAAGTTCAGAGATTTCATTTTGTCCTTGATGGAAGGGGGAAACAGACACTATCCACGGTAGCTTTTATGAGCTATAAGATGCTTGTCTTTTAATTGAGTCACGAGAAAAGGAGTTGGGGTAGGAGAGGAAAAGTGGGGGATGAGGAACAAAACTGAGGAAGATACAATATGTGTATGAACCGATTCCCCGTGGTGAATGTGACGATTCTACGTCACAAACACACCTTCATAATAAACATTTTAAGTAAACAAAATAAATTAAACACTGGCATTAGTGAGTGGCTTAGCTCTTCTTGGTCTGATTACTGTCATCGGACATTCTACAACTGTCATCGTATTTATTCCTACTTGGTTTTGTTTTAATTTTAACTGGCTAATAACCGTTCTGTGTTTTTACAGAATGCAATGTAATGCTATCCATATACAGTACGAAGTGATTACTCCGAGCTGATTAACATCCCCGCCAGGTCACACTTTCATCACATCTTCCTAGGACGGCTTCTTCTAACCTGCTGTCTAGCAGTTGGAGGCCAGAGGCTGCCTCCGTGGTTCTCGATCAGCGCTCCCTCTCCTCCTTTTATTTTCTCGCACTTCTGTGTTAGTGGCGCTCGCACCGCAGAGCGGCGATGCGCACCCTGGGGGTTGAGCGTGCACAGCCTTGGTGACAAGTTTCCGCCCCTCTCCCCACCTGCCAGGGACGTCGAGGCTCTGTTTGTCCTGCAGCCTGAACACATCCACCGCGTTTCTCTCATGCCGGTTTTGCTAACTTACCAAATCCGACTACGTAGAGGAAAATACGGAAGTAAGCCACCCGTCATCTCCACGGAAAACCGAGCCTGAGCTCGGCGGAAAGACTCGCTTTTAGCGGGCGGAGGGAGCGCTCTGGGGGGTTCCCGAGCCTTCAGGGCCACACGAAGAGCAGTGGGACCTTCTCTCCCCATGGGGCCCTTGGGAGGATCAATCCCAGAGTGGCAGTGAATGCCCTCCAAGGGGCTGTCCCGCCTAGAGTGGTGTGAGGTTCACTGAAGGAAATGCTCTATGGAGATACAGACAGAACAGCGTGTCCTACTCAGAGGACGAAGCAGGAAAAGGAGGACACACACAGAGGAGGCTGCTCTCGCTTCCCTCTGCAAGGCGGCGCTGATTCCCACCCTGCCTCCTGACTGGCTTCTCCGCGGAATACCAACTCACCCCTGCGAGAGTTTAGAGCACGGCCCCGCATGACTCACGCCCTTTGTACTTCTTTAGCTTAACTGACAAATAAGTGTCGTATATTTATGGCGTAAAACATGACGCTTTGATACACGCACCTGACAGGAAACGATCAGGTCAAGCTCATGCATGTAACCATCGCTCAGAGTTCTGTGGCGAGAACGTTTTTAAAAATCTCATTAGAAGCGCCAGAGTTTTGCACTGGCTATTTATTTTTGCCTAGGATTTTCTTCCCTTTTCATTTTCAGACCATAAAAATAAGAGGGGAATTATTATATTTAAATATGTCCAATCTCCAGCTACTAGGTATCACAGTAGTGCTTTTAATAAAGTTTGGTGGATTTGTCTGAAACAATCTCGCAAAATTTCTGTTAGTTTTAGTACAAAGTTTTTTACAAGTTTTCAAAAATTTTTCTAAGTTGTATTTTAGTAGCATTTTCTAGATGTCTGTGGTGCAGAGAATTGAATTTGATTTTTTGTGTTATTTTTTGTGTTAAATCATATTCATTTTAGAGAAAAGTATCTGAAAATTCTTTGGGGAATTTTCAAAAACAGAAAATCCATTGTCCATGAAATTTTAATGACTTTCAGCCTTGGTGCATTTGATTCCTTAATTTACTGACTGAAGTTGTGAGGATTGTTAAGACAGTATTGAATAGAAACTTTAGAGGTGGATATACTTGATGTTTTCTGATCCTCAAGCACTGTCGCAAAGATTTCACCCTTAAGTATATTTTTGGTCTTCATTCTTGGTCCTTAGCTTATGGCCCAGAGAGGAGAAGCGCTGCTCTCAGCTGGGACAGCCCACAGCAGGTACCGCTGACCCACAGTTCCCAAGTCTTCATGGCGACAAGATCGTCCAACGATCATTATGAGCAGGAATATTTACGTAGGCTTTGTAGAAACACCTCACCATGCAATGGATCCTTATCCATTCCTTTGGCTAAGTTCTTACCTAACCCTTTCACTATTTTCTTGCAATAAGTGCATGTAAACTGCCTTCAACAATTTTTATATTTAATGAAATAAACATTTTCCCTTAATATGTAGATGTGGTGAATGAAATTGATATTTTTAATGTTGAACCATGAATTCTTGGAATGAACTCAAAATGATCATGGTGTATTACCTTTCTGCATATTTAGTTGAATTTCATAGGTCTATCCCTTCTTAAAGATTAGTCATATTTATGAGTGAGTTTGTTATATATTTTTCTTTTCTATTGTCCATGTCAGATTTTTAAATCAAAATATGCTGGTCTGAAAAAGTCTGAGACTACATTCTTGCGTGCTGAGGAGTAGTTTATGCTTAGATTAGAATTATTCAGTGGTAGTATTCAAAAGTAAATCTGTGCAGAGATTTGTCTTCATGGAAACGTTTTTAAATGTTTATTGAAATATCAGTGTGTATAAGAATGCCCAAGAATTAAGATACTGAAAATTATACATTTTCTGAGAATTTAAATCAAGTTTTCCTAATTGAATTGCATATATTAATGAATAATATATTTCGCCATCTGTATTCTGAGACTTTGGCATGTGAATAATATTCTCTTCTACAATTTAATAGGCTATTGACCTTTCTACTTTTCTTCTTAATCAGTGATTTTTAAATTTTGCTCTGCTTTTTCAAAAAAACATGAAGTTCATTGGTCCATTTTCAGTATACAATATGATGACATTCATCATTAGGAATCCGTACCTGTACGTGACATATCTTGGTCCTTATTTTTTTCCCCATTCCCCTGCCCTCCTTTCAACCACTCCGCCCCCTGTGTTAAGAGGATGTGGTGGTTTTATTTTTTATAAAATGGAGTACTACTCAGCCATAAAGAATGATAAACTTAGAGACATTTATAGCTAAATTTATACACAATGAGGCCACACCCGTAAGAAAAATAAACAGGACACATGGAAATGTTGCGTAGTTTCTCTGATGTGAGAAACTGAAAGTGTAAATGAGGACCAAAATGTATAAAAGATAATGTGAACTACGAAGAAAAGGTCCAAAGGGGGAGCGGAAGGGAGAAGGCGGAAGAGGGGAAGAGCAGGGGAAAGGAGAAGGGAAAGGAAAAAATACGAGAAAAGGAAAAAACAGAAACAAACACTTTGCTCCACTTTAAATTTTTTTTTTCTTTTACTGATCCTTTTCATGGTATGTTTAGCCTCTACTTTAGAATATGGGTTTAGCTATACTTTGCTATTCATTTATTTACTAGTTCCTTTATGTTAGTCTCACTCATTTTTAACCATCTTTCTTTTTTCTTCTAGGTACCGGGGATCGAACTGGGGAACTCGCGCTTGCGAGGCAGTCGGCGGAACCCCTGAGCTACATCCCCGACCCAACTGTCTTTCTTTTCGAACTCGCCTCTTAAATTTCTCCCCAAAGCTTCTTCAGCTACAGCCTATAGACAGGATTTTTATTGTCACTCGCTCAACTGACTTCCAACGTAATTTCTTTTTTTTAGCGTTTTGATTATTTCCCAAACATGAGGTGTGATTTTTTTTAAAAAGGCCAATATTTTAATGTTTAGAAACGTCTATTACAGTAAAAGATATACTGCCATTCATCCCCCTAAATTACTCCCCTC